CAAAAATACATCCATGCAAAAGAGTCTGAGGAGGGAGGGAGGTGGTCAGGAAAGTTGGAAGCCAAGAGGCAGTAACCTCCTGTGAGGAATACTACTGATAGGTCAAGGAAATTTAGGACTGAAAAGTGCTCACCAGATTCCTCAGTGAGGCTCTTTGGATAGAGTGTTGGGAAAAGAGTTCAGATTTGAATGGCTTGAGAAGCAAATAGCAGGTGAGGAAATGGAAATACAGAATATATGCAACCCATAATTTAATGTTTGTTAGACATTTCTATTTCTTCTTTTGTGAATTCTCTGCTAGTTTTATTCTTTTTACATTAGAGTTATATATTTTTATTAGTGTAAGGATATGTCATATATTCAAGGGGTTTTTTTATGTCTATTAAATAGAATGTAAATTCTTTTTTTTCCCAGTGTGGTTAATGCAACTTTTATATGAACTGGAGGTCTGCTAGTTATGTAAGAGCCACTTCTGATTACATCTTACTCTGTGATGATCTTATATTTCATCCATTCAATTAATATATATTTATTGCTTTCACTATATACTCAGGGTTAATTTTATAAGAATTTGCACTATAATTTTAATAGAACATTCGCAGCTCACTACAGCAGTAATTTTAGTGAATGCAAATGAGATATTTCAAAATCCTTGAGTAAGAACTACAGATTGTAAAAAGAGCTAAAGAGTCATAAATTTTCTAAAAATAATCTTTTCCAAAACATAATTTTAGTTACTATTTTGCCAAGAATGAAAACATAAAGCAATTGATCTTAGGCTAAACTCATGCAGTTTATCCTCTGGGCTAAATAATGTCAAGTCTTACTGTCACACTAATAAAGCATAGTAACTGCATGGGCAATGGCTTTCCCTAAAATAGGGAGGAATGAGGGGATTGGCTCAGGCACTGGAATTAAAGACTGATAAAGGAGTTTTTAAAAACTTACCAGGTGTTTGTATCCATAATATTTAAAGCAATGGTAAAATTTACCACAATACATTTAGGTAATTTGTTACCAAATTGACGCCTCATGTTTATTTGTGACTATATATTTTATTTGCCCATAATAAATTTCAAAAGAAATAGAGGTTCTGTGAGTGCTTTGCATAACAGTTAGCTTTATGAAAAAGAAATTAAAAAACAAGGTGTAGCATATAAGATAAATTTTTATCTACTTCGCTAAAAATAGAACTTAGTTCAGTTGGATTAAATATTTATTTTAATAATTACTTATGTCAGGTGTCCCTGGGTTTGAAGAATGTAAAGTGTTTTTCTGTGTTTGTTAATGCTTTTGGAGTATTAAATAAAACATATTATATTACTTCCTTAAGATTTCCTGGTAAAATATGGTGACTGTCATTTAAAAAAATTCTTTAAATATTTTAGTCAATACTGGACCCTGTGCCATGAAATTATCCTTTTCTATATATTAACAAACCTTCCTAGAGTTTCTCACTTAACCTCAAAAATGTGCTTAGAAAATGGAACAAAATATAATCTATTTTCTAATATCCCCGTATATCAAGTGGTGTATGCCATAAATTTAAAAGGATAATGATTTTATTGTACTAACTGTTCTATTAATAATTTTCTAGCATCTACATTTTCAATGAAAACATAGGTAATATATATGTAACGTGTTATACATACATGTAAGATATATAGCATATAAACAAGTGCTAAATTCTAATTTAAATGAAAGTAATAATGTTGTCTAAACCCTGCAGTCATCACAACTCCCCAGTGCCGTAAGAATGTAGAGCCATAAGAATGGAGAGGCTATGCAACACGTCCTGGAGTGGACTGCAGTGGTTTAAATCTTGGCTTAACTCTGTGATCTTGGGAAAGCTGAGCATCTTTTAGATAAATGTTATGTTTAAATGTTACATTTCAAAAGTGGCAAATTTGTGAAGGATGGTTGAGAGAAACAGGGACTTTTCATTGGCAAATAATTCCTCTGTGTGTGTGTGTGTGTGTGTGTGTGTGTGTGTGTGTGTGTGTGTAGGGATGGTGAAGCAGCCTGTGTAGAACTGAAAGATGATTTATTTGCCAATAAAAACACAGCTTTGCAAGAATTTGTAACAAAGCAAAAGGATAAGATATTTCAGGATAAGATCAGAACCTGTGAACTCACAATGAAATTTTTAGTAAAGTTACTAATATTATATTAAAAATGTGGAATTAAAAATCAAGCAATTCTCTCAGTGCAGAATGAGTGCAAAACGCTTCAAGGAAAACCCAATACCTTTTACTCAGCAAAATTTGTGACTGTTGGCTTGAGGTTCTCCATTTGTAAAATACAGGTGTTGTTCACTTAAGTGATACCAACAATCCTTTTCAGGTCTAAGATTTCTGAGGTCATAGGAGGTCGCAAGGACTTTGATGAAAGAAAGACCTAAGCGCCTGAGTCTAAGCTGAAGTAGTTTTAAAGCTTAGAGGATCTTTTGGTTTTAGGCAGAGGGACAGAATGAATTAAATACATTTTCCATGTAGGCTGTGAGGATACAATTCAGTTTATATTAAATGGGGATAAAAAGCACTCATAATTCAACAAGCCAAGTGTTAACACTGTAGTCTAAATGATGTATTCCTTTATCAGTTGAAACCTAATTAGAGCTTCTATAACTTGACTTTTATTTCAATAAAGCATTAATTACATAGGAAAATATAATTTCTCTGAGCACATACTGTTAACTATGTTCTGTATGGGGCAGGAAGCCCATGCAGCCACAACCAAAGGCACCGTGACTCACCTGAACTTCCTCAGAGGGGTCAACCTTGCCAACTTGAATCAATGCAATAACTGCAAATACCACAGGACTAGTTTTCTCAGTTCATGTTTGATAAAACACTAATGCAGAAAGATTTTGTGGACTGGTAAAGTAGAGAATTCTAATAAATGTTGTATTTGTATAGCCTTTGATTCTAAAATAAATTATCTTTATTTCTGTAATTCTTTTTGTCAATTTCCTGCTCAAATAAAAGTTTTTTTAATTAATAATTTTTTAAAAATGTCAGTATCCGAATTGGGTATGCTTCAGATTTTGTTGGAAATTGTGTGTTCCTAAATTTTGAAATGTTTTGGTAATTAAATAATATTTTCTAGTAAGGAAATATTAAAGAATAAGTAGTAAAGTATTTATCGATTTCAAACCAGTAAGTGTGATGAAATACCATTATATTATCTGTTAAAATAACTCCAAGACCATTTCTGATTTTGTGTAAATATTGGCAGAAAGGAATTAGGAAAATGACCTCCCTCGCAGACTTGAAATATCAACTTCAGTACTAAATTTTTATCAAAATTCATAATGCATTATTAGCATTTCAAGAAGATTGTGAGAGTTTTATAACCTTCTATCCTAATGCGTCTCCTCTAGATCAGAATGAAGAAAAGTAAATCAAACCAAAACAAAAAAGAAAGATGCTCAAACCAAAGAAACAGTCCTTTCTTGGTGGAGCAAGATTAGAGGCAATTTCACCTGTTCTCCAACTTGGGGCTAATTTTGTTTCTTCTTTGTACTCACGTCTGTCCCTACAGAAATGAAAGGGTGAGATACTTGTGGAATATCAGAGACAAAGGGGAAAGGGAAGATTGGCAGTTTCAGAGACTTAAAAAAATGTGGTTTTGTGCTTATTTAGCCCAGTTAGTGGCAACTAACCACAGCTCCTTCAATTTACCCTCTGGACCTGGCATGAGAAAATTGTTTCTAAAGATTTGTGTCATCAATACCTCTGTGCTCACTATTTCAAAACAGTAAACACAGAGAATGGACTTAGGGCAGGAAGTTGTTTTTTTCTTAATTTCTCTCATAGTGGTGGCTTAATGTAGTAAGAATCAGTATTAAGCCTCATTTTACTTTGAAACAATTTGCTAATGTAGAAAAAAAAGTGTTCTTTTAGTAGATGAGAATATTGAGACTTGAAGTTAAAGTGACATCACCTCCCACCCCATGCATCCCCCATGCAAGCTGCCAGTCACAAAGTGGAGACTGGAATCTACTGGTGTGGTTCATTTTAGCATAACATTTGATTAAAGTGTAACTATTCAGTAACAGGTAAAGATTTACCACTGTTTTAACACAGTATGGGTATTTCATAATGTTCAATATGAGAAAGCAAATGCACCCAGAAATTTAAAAAACTTAAATATGAGAACAAATATTGGAGGTCTATTCAGCTTCTTATAATTGCTTAAGAGTCCCAGAATCCCCACTCTAGATGAGGGAACATTCTAAAAATTATCTTAAAGAGTTATAAGGCGGTGTGTCTCATTTGTTAACCATTTATTCTTTGGGTTTTTTGTTTCCCATCATCTGAAAGATTTGGATGCCATCTTCCAGGAGCAGGGTTTACCCAGCTCATGGCCTGCACAGATTACTGGAAGTTAAATCTAATGTGAAATTCTGCGCAAACTGCTAGCTGACAGCAGTCATTTAGAGGGAGCTTGTTGCCTCTGATAAATCCTGCATAACTGGGAGCCCAAACCAGTGTTGGCTTTGGGGCAAGGATAGAGATTGGAATGGGTGGTGATGAGGACCAGCAGACCAGAAAGAGGAGGGTAACTCATCATTCATTTCTCGGATGCAATAGTGACCGACAGAAAGAAGGAAGACCAGAAAGTACATTTTACAGATAACATCCTTTTCATGGCAGTTGTTTGAAGCCATTTGAGAAAATGTGCTAGTATTGTTTCTGGCTGAGTTTGTCCTGCTTGGGAGGACACATTTTCCCGTCCTTCTCATTTGCTGTCTTCAGTCCCTCAAGATGACCTTAATGGAGATCAGGGGGTTAGGGTGGGAGTAGGCAGGCGGTAGAAGCAGAAACCGGCTCAATTATTAGAGGACTACAAATGGCTTAGTGACCTCCTTTCCTCAAGAACTGTTTTCTAGTCCCTTTCCTTTTATCAAACCAATTTTGTCACTTTTTCGTTTGTAACGTTCTCCCACTGCCCAGCTCCTCTTTCTCCCTCCACCATCCTCCCAGCCTTCTCCTCACCTGTCCACCGCTATGGCCGTCATAGAGTAGATGCTGGCGAACACCGCTGTGATAGGAAAGAAGTTCTGGAAGCGACAGTAGTTGGCGCCGAAGTACCACTCGCTGTGGAGCGCATAGATGAAGTTGACCAAGGTGTTGAAGGCGGCCATGGAGGCATCGGAAAAAGCCAAGTTCACGAGGAAGTAGTTGGTAACGGTCCTCATGCGCTTGTGGGCCAGGATGATCCAGATGACGATAAGATTCCCGAAGACCGCCACGGCCACCACCACGCCGTACGCTAGGGACCAGAGCGCGATGCGCCAGGACGGCTGCACGAACTGGTTGGTGAGGTTGGCCCGGGGCTGCGAAGGCGCCGGGGTGGCGGCGGCCAGTCCCAACGTGGAGGAGGAAGCAGAAAGATTGCCAGCTTGGACTAGCAGTTGCAGCCACCCAGGCTCAGCCACCCCCGTGCCTGCCCCTGGCTGGAACGCAGCGCTCAGGCTCCCGGCGTCCGCTCCCGCTGTTCCTGCACCTTCCG